CCCCAAAACCCCAAAATCCCAAAACCCCAAAACCCCAAAACCCCAAAACCCCAAAACCCCAAAACCCCAAAAATTAATTATATTATGGAAAGTTCAACTCCAATTATTTGTATTCTCTCATTCTGAGAGATTTCTTCTTGTATTTTTTAATTTCTCTCTTATTGATGTTCTTCAATTCTGGATGCTTCTTATAATCAAGGTTGTGCACATTTCGAGGAATGAATAGATTTTCGTCATACTCACGAGGTACATCTCTCAACTCTTCAATATCATAAGGCTCTGCATTATTGTCAACTTCTTCAGCTACTACTACATAATTTTTCTTAAGATCATCCAAATCTGCCGGAATAGATACCATCTCATTAGGATCTGGAAGAGGCTGATTAATGAATTGCGGTATTTTCAAATGATAGCAAGTATGATATTGATCAGGGAATACCTTAATTCTATCTAAAAGCAATTTCCTTGTGTTGTTTGGAGCAATCATTCCCTTTACTACTCTTCTAATAAGCTCCTGAGGATCCTTTTTCTCCAAATCCTTGAACAAAATTTCATGAAGTGCTCCTGCATATCCAGTATGATGCCTGAATACCTTCTGATATCTCTGCTTTCCTGTAAGACGGATATTGCTTCCGTTAACTACAAGAACTCTATCATTATTAAGAAGCACTCTTTTAGGATCATAAGTTGGCTTATACTTGCCAGTAATGTACTTAGCAATTCTTCCAGCCATTCTTCCAAGTGGAATTCTGCTTGCATCAAATACATGCCAAATTCTATCTTGTCTCTTGACGCAGAAATAAGCGCTCTGAGCTTTAATAAAGTTTTCATAAGTTATTCCATATAGTCTCAGGAACTTGACCGGATCAACTTTAGGCATTATCATTCTAGTCGTATCGGAGTTTGGAGGCTTATAAAGCTCCTCAGAAGGGTTATACCTAGATTTAGGTTATGATCAATATTTGGGATACGAGACTTACGAGACATTATTGAACTCAGGATCCTTCATCCTTTGATGCTTGTCATACAAACGATTATCAGTAATGAAATCACCTATCTTTGGCTTTTCACAGAAGCATCTCCTCGCAGAATACATTAAGAACCGCGTGCTTGGCTTAGAGAACCAAGTAATCATTAATGGCTGGAATAATTAATTTATATAACTTTCTAACTTATAGGGGTTTTGGGGTTTTGGGGTTTTGGGGTTTTGGGGTTTTGGGGTTTTGGGG